ATATATAAACACATTAAAAGGACACTGCCACCATGAAGCCAATTTAAGAGACCATGCAGTTCTTTAAAGGCTTCATCCCGAAGCTCATATGTCTTCATGGAAGGAGACGGGTGGTTCATGTGTTTTAACTGGGGTTGGGTGTGTTAAAACAAAAATGAGGCTTACTGCAATATCTGCATAGGAGCCAAGGTAGACCATTATACAAATGATCTAGTTTTTTTGGTTTTTTTTTGGTTTTTTTCCTCCGGTACCGGGAACCGAACTCACGACCTTGCGCTTGCCAGGCAGGCGCTTTTGCCGCTGAGCTAAATCCCCAGCCCCTATACAAATGATCTAAATGTAATGTGAAAGAAACTGTGATATATAAGAAATGATAAAAGATGAGAAAAAATTCAATAGCAAATATTGATACTGTGACTGGCAACATTTAAATATACATCTTAGTTAAATATATTATAAAAATCTGAGAAGATACAAAAATTTAGCTCTAAAAATACCTTGGTTATAGACTTATAATTACTATGTTACAAGTAAATATACTGAAACACCACATTCAGTTTTTATTTTTTTGAGACAAGATTTCACTAAATTGCTCAGGTATGTTTCAAACTTGTTGGTTCTCTTACCTCAGTCTTTTGAGTGCTGAGATTACGGGTATGCAGCACAGCGCTCAGGTGATATCCCCGCTGTCTAAAATCTGTCCTTTCAATGAGGTGTGGTGGTACATTCCTATAATCTCAACCCTCAGGAGACAAAGGCAGGTGGATTGAAAGTTTGAGGCCATCCTGGGCTACATAGTAAGATCCATTCGTGAAACAAATGATTTTATTACAGACTTTAATGACAATGTGTAAATGGGCTTTCTAGTTTCCAAAACTGATTTTTGCTAATTTACATATTTTCATTATAAGTACTTATAGAAAACCATCAAATGATATCGAGAGTAAAATGAACTTTTAAAGAGTTTTTCGTGTTACTCTGCATAAACAGTTGGATGGCTATGGGAGTCAATGTGTCAAGCATAAACTCTAGAATAACATAATTGGCTTTTTAGGACACCAAATGCTCTCTGTGATGTGGCCTAGGTTACATTATCAAATATTTAATGAGTTCTGAGCTAACTGAGGATTGTTTTCATTTAGCACTCGGAGAGAGTTTAAAGAATTAAGGAGTCTCCAGGTGTTACTACAAGGGGGTTGAGAAATCAGTGACATATTCTGAAAATTTAGTATAAAAAAGTATTTGAGAATATTTGCAGGTAGGTCAGAAGAGAGCTTTATTAGGGAACTTGCTTGAAACTTTTTAAACATTAGATATTATCTTTAAAATATTCAGTTTATATCAAGATTGACAGCATTTTTAAATCTTTCATGGGAAACCACTGAGTTATTTTTAATCATGGAGAAAATATCTTTATTACAGATCTTAAAAAGCATACAGCTGATGAAAATCCTGACAAAAGCACTTTAGAAAAAGCTATTGGATCACTAAAAGAAGTAATGACGTAAGTGCTTTGTTTCAATTTTTTATTCTTTAGAATAGGTAGAATAGAATTGATGTGATAGTCATAAATTAGAGAAAAATATCAATGGCAAATTTTTGTAAAATAATATCTAAATTACTTTCCTAATAGTGCACTTATACATAAGAAGTATTCTTAGTATATATTGCTTAATCAAAGTATTTGTTCCAGAAATTATTAGATTATTATGTTCTGAAAGCAATAATGGTTTAAAAACTTGATAATGTTAATTGCATAGAGATATTTTCTTCACATTTTTCCCATTATAGCTTTCTTTTATCTTTATGTTAATATGAAGTGTCCAAATATAACTTGGGAATTTGACCTTGGTAAAATGAAAGGCTTGTTTTTTTTCTTAACTTTGTTTCTTATCTAGAATTTTATGGAATTGAATTGACAGTCTTGATTGGAGGTGTATTAATAGTACAACTCAAACTGATTTGGAGAGCATGGTAATTATACTTAGGTTGTTGACTGTGAGTAATGTTAGAAACATAGGTCTGATCAGCAGTGATCTCTAAAATGACGAGAGTAGGAAAGTGTTGCCCTTCACTGTTTTGCCTCATGAAGTCACTTAAACTTTCTAATTCATATGTTTAAATAATTTCTGAGCTTTTATGTATGAAGTCATATCTTAAAATACTTGCAGTGGAGCCTTTCAAAGAAGCTTAACTAGCTCTAGAAAGAAGAAGCAGGATTGTCTTTTTTATATTCTATTTGGGAGAATAATGATTAAATTAGTAGCAGCTTCTGTTGCTGTTGAAAAGGTTGTATCAATACTTTTTTTTTCTTATTGTCTTTTTGTTTTATCAGCCAGCCTTCATGCTTTTTATTTGTTATCCTGGAAACAGGATAATAATTTTGCAGTGGTGATAATGATGATTTTCTTTTTTTAATCTTGCTTAAAACTATGAAGTAGGCAGTCATTTTTCACATATTTTCACAAAAGGAAAAATCTACAAGTCTGTTACCTGCCCAATTTACCTGTTTAGTGTGTAGAATATGTAAAAATTATCTTATTTGTTATTTAGGTACATTTCAGTAAGCAAAGATTGCAAGATAATTATTTACTATTAATAGAATCATAATAGTGAATATACTGATCATTTGACTACTTGCCTCTAGAATAGTATCAATCTGGATGCAATAGAGACAATAAGATGAATCAATAAGGTGGTTCTTTCTCTTTCAATATTACAGTATTTGAGTGTTCTGAAACTTAGGGATATTTTTAATATATTTGTTTTAAGTGCCTTGTGCATGGTAGATTTTCAATAAATATTGAACTATAGGAGTTGTTTCAGTGTTGATTTATGATGTTGATTTATAAATTTAGAATAGAATTTAGAATCTGGTTTATAGAATCTCACCAGATCTAAACTCTTGAGATTATTGAGCATTTAGTTTAGGAAATAAAGTTCTTATGGTTCATTAAGATAACCAAAATACAGTAGTAAAGGAAATAATGAGACAGTATCAATTTACTAGTTCTTGCCATTTAAGTAAACCCCCAAAAGCCTTCTTAAATTCAATCTTGGTAACCCTACTACACATACTTAATTTCTAAATCTTAATTTGTTATAATTGCAAATTTTTTAGTAACTTTAATATATATATCTATTCCCTGAAATAACCTAGATGTGTTTAATGTATAGTTTAAAGCTGGCATACATGGAATACCATGAGGCTATCACCGCAGTCTAGATAAGGAACATTTACCTCATCCCTCAGAATTTATTCATGCCCCTTGGCAATGTTTTTCTGCCTTTTTCTGTCCCACACATCCCAAGGCAACCATTGAGATGCTTCTTTCTATTAGTATAATATGCATTTTCTAGAATTTTACCTAAATGGAATTGGATAGTATATTCTCTTTTACCTGTCCTTTTTTATCCATCATATTTGTTTTGAGAATAGTCTTTATTAATGCTTAATAGTTCATTCTGTATTATTTCCATTGTATGACAGTATTAGTATAATATGCATTTTCTAGAATTTTACCTAAATGGAATTGGATAGTATATTCTCTTTTACCTGTCCTTTTTTATCCATCATATTTGTTTTGAGAATAGTCTTTATTAATGCTTAATAGTTCATTCTGTATTATTTCCATTGTATGACTATATCACTGTCCATTCTTGTGTTGATGGATATTTTGAGTCTTGTTTCTGGGTATTGCATACAAATAAAGCTGCTACAAACATTTATAAGTCTTTGTGCAGATATGTGCTTTCATTTCTCTTAGATAACTTGCTAGTAGCAGGAATATGTTATTTTAATACATATCTTTATGTAGTACAAACTAAACAACATGTGATTATAATTACTACTTTACATAATTTTATGTCCTTTAAAAGAAACCATAGAAAGAGGAGCAAGTATATATTTGTTTAATATTCTTGTTTATTTCCTTCATTTGGATTGTCATTTTCATGCTTCATTAGTGCTTAGGTTTTTCTCTTTCTTAACTGTTTTTAGTGCCCTCTGATTTGTTTTGATGGTTTGATTTTGTTGTTGTTTTGTGCTTGAGGTTTGTTGTTTCAGGTCCTAACATTTTTTCAAGTATGGGGCATTTTTTTTTACCATTATTCCTTCAAGTATTTTGCTTTCTGTCTTGCCTGTCCTTTCTCTTTTAGGAACACTAAAATTTCACATGTATTCGGCTGCTTGATTTTTGTTCCATAGCTTACTAATGCTTTGCCAGTTTTATTGTTCAGTATCTTATAGTTTCTCTTACTGTCTTCAATTTTATTAATCTTTTCTTCTGTACTATCTAATGTTATTCTCATCCAGGATATACAGTATTTCATCTAAAACAGTATAGCTTATATTTTTAGAAGACTCGGTTGGAACTTTAAAAATGTATACTATCTTCCATCGTTTTGCTGGTTATGTTCCTTTACTTAGTTAAACCAATGAAATGTGTATAACAACTTTAAATTGTTGACTAATTCTCTCCTCCATGTCAATTTCAATTTTTTTCCCTCATCATGAGCCATATTTTCTTGCTTCTCTCCATGGCCTGTCTTACTCTGTTGGGCTCAGGATATTAGTTTTACTTTGTTGAATGCCAAATATTTCTATAATGTATAAATATTGTTGAGATTTTTTTTTTCTGGGATACAGTTAATTATAGTTTCAACTTTCTATGTCTTGCTTTTAAACTTTGTTAAAGAAGTTTAAGAACAGCCTTTCATCTAGAATTAATTTTCCCTGATGATACATGACCCGTCGTAGTATTCTGTCTTGATGTGGCAATAATCTTAAGCTTTTTCACTTGGATCGATCAGTCCACTCTGACTGATGGCACTGTTCTGTGCAATGTCAGCATGGAGCACTGTTACCTCTAATCTTTTTGGATATTTTCTTTTCTAACTTCAGATAGTTTTCTTATGGACAGGAACTGGTCAGTGTTTAGCTGTGTATACAATGAGTCAATCTGCAGATCTATGAAGATCTTTCTGGGCGCAGTTCTCAGTTCTGGCAATCAAGCCTCTTATCCTAACAGGACTCCCCAGCTTTTCTTCTTCACTTACTGATGTAGCAGGGCATGCCCTGTGCTTTTCTGCTATGCGGGAGGAAGCTTTCTCTAGGTTGAGGGAAGGGTAGTTGTAGCACTTGACTTCTAATGTGCAGTACCTTAACCCTTATTTCTTTATATTTTGACATTTTGTTGTTATTTCTGGCAAAGGGCAAACCTAATGCCTTTTAATTTTATCTGTCTAGAAGCAGTAGTCTTCATTTCTGTGTTAATGAAATGGTTAGTATATGACTTGGGAATGACTTGCATAAAATCTTCGCTGAACTTACAGTTAGAATTTCAAAGTTGTGTTAACCTGAAGATTTGGACAGGTTTAGAAAGTGTGTAGTGAATATAGTAACTTATATTCTAGTAAAACACACTTTTCTGAAAGGTTCCATAGAATATTTTCTAATGTAGTAGGATACTTTAAAGAAACGTTTTTAACTGATTCACTTATCAAAATTAAGATCCATTCATAGGAGAGGATTTTTTGGTGTGTGAAATAAGATGTATCTGTATGCTATTTTCATCTTCTAAAGTAACTTTATTAATTTTTCAGGCATATCAATGAGGATAAAAGAAAAACAGAAGCACAAAAGCAAATTTTTGATGTTGTTTATGAAGTAGATGGATGCCCAGTAAGAACTTTTTGATGATTGTCATTTTCTTTTTCTTCTTAATGAGGTTTCTATAGTTTTAAAAAACCAAAATCTTGGCATTTTTAAAAAATCTTTTCTAAAATTATAGCCTGTTAAAAATTATTTGATTCAAGTGATCTGTTGGTGTTTTCAATCTACACAGGCCAATCTTTTATCTTCCCACCGAAGTTTGGTGCAACGAGTTGAAACTGTTTCTCTAAGTGAGCACCCCTGTGACAGAGGAGAACAAGTAACCCTCTTTCTTTTCAATGACTGCCTAGAGGTAAAGTGGTACTTAATATAGTACAGTAAAATTGTTGTCTTTTGTGACCTGATGGAACACTTAAAACCAAGTTTAGATTAAAGTGGCAAATTCAACCTAATCAGTATTTTTAAAAATTCAGACCAGTTGTTGATTTAATACAGTATAATGCTTTTACAGGAGGTCTAAATTTCCATGTTTATATTCAAGTCAAAATCAAAATTTATTTTTATACAAATGAAGGCTTAGGTCAAGAGTTTTGGGAACTTCTTGTTTCTATGTATTTTTATTGAAGATTTGCAAAATAATTGTGAACTCCTCTTTTTGAAATTTGAGTAGATATTTTTCCAGTACATATGAAATCATTATTTTGTTGAAGTTGAACATTATAATTTGATATTATGAACTTCTGTGGTTTTTGATTTTTCAGCAGATTTTAGAATAAATGTGTGATCGGTATATTAGATGGGATGTAATGAATCTAAAATTCTCATTTACCCAAGTTAAATTTTTCCTTCTTGTAAACCCCTACAAATTTTGAATTATGTTGATGTGCTCTGTTGTTTTTTATTCTTTGGGTATATATTTTTATACAACTAAATGGTCTAGTGGGGAGATGAAAAGGAGTGCATTTTTCTTCATCTCAGAAGAGAAAAATGTTCTTTTTTGATAAAGCAGACATAACAAGACTCATTTGACATTTCTGTTACTGGGTAACTTTCTGTTGCCTTCATCAAAGTGATTGGTAGTTTTCCTTTTTCTTTACAGTCTGTGGTCTTTCATTTTATCTTATTTCATATTTTTTCTCTTGAAGTTTTGCCCTCTTATATCATGTACATTGTTTTATAAAGTAGAAAATGGTAGGGAATCTTAGAGAACAAGCCATGCACAGAGCAGTTACAGGTGTAGTAAAGTATTACCAGAAATTGGCTTGTGTTAAATGTAGTTTTGTTATTATGAGGTTAATTAAAAGTAGTATTTTCATTTGGTCAGTAATTTACAAAAAGCACAAAAATAACAGAAGGATCATAAATTCAAGGCCAGAACAAGACCTGTCTACACAGTGAGACCTGTCTGGGCAGGGGAACATAGTATATAATTGACTGTAGTCTGAATTGAGAAAATCATGAGGCAGGTAATTGTGAACTGACTTCCCCTAATAAGAGTATTGGCCTGCCCTGCTTTTGGGAATAGAGGCTAGGCAAAGGAGGCAATCAATTTCTATCATATTTTACTGAAATTCACATTGTCATGGCCCTTTACTAGTCTCTGTACATCTGTTTATTTGCTTCTATTAAGGCATATTTAGTTTTTTCCTGTTGAAGTCCACAGGTCAGTTGGCTCCATTTACTTGTTACATTACATTATCTGATCTTCCTTGCCAGTCCATTCTGATTTTATCTCCTAGTTCCTGGTGGAGCAGTGACTTATTTTAATCTGATACTACCTTCAAAGTCTCTGTAACTGGTTCATTGACTTCCCTTGTACTTTAATCTCTGTGGTTGGTCATCTCCTGTAGTTTCCATGCCCCTGGCCTCTCATTTTCTTCACCTCAAATCTAGTGACTTTTTGATCTCTCTTTTAGCTCTGTGTCTCAGAATCATTTCAATAAAAACTGCTCAAAATTTGGACATCAAAATTCAAGATCTTAAGTAAATTTTTAATTTGTTTAAGAAAAATGAAACAAATTTGGGATAAAGCAATAACTTCCTTAGAATAAAATCTGTAACAAGCATCATACTATAAATTATATAAGTTAGAAATAGCCTATATGATTGTAATCTATATTGTATTCTCTTTAATATGACAGGTGATATTTTATTTATGTTCACTTGATTTTAGACTTAAGTATATGTTTTCCTTTATATATTTTATATATTTTAAGAGGTTTTCTCCCTTTATTTGCTAACATTTGTGTCATCAATACTAATAATTGTTATTGTTTTTTAAATGCTTTAAAAACCATTTAATCATTTTGCTTAGCCTAATTTAAAAGTATATTCACATATTACAGTGAAAATAATTAATTTAAGTCTTCATTGTTTATTTTAACTACACTTAGGTAAATGAACTGTTAGTGCTTAATGTGTATAGACATGTTTATATTTCTGCTTCAACGTGAGTATGATACACTGACTAGCTTTTTGTCTTCTCATTATCCTTAACACAGAGTACTACATTTTCAACTTTACTTTTTATGTTCATGATGATGATAAGTCAATCTCAGTTCAACTAATTTATTCTGAATTCATTTTATATTAGTATCATTCAGTAAAATCTGTTATTATTACTACACAGTTTCTTTGAGGGCAAAATAATATACTAGGCTTTTAAGGAAATGAAAACAAAAATGAAAAGAACTTACAAAGTTCATAAAACCTCGTTATATTGTGAATCACTAGTTGCTGTTTCGACTTTGTTCTTGTCTTCTCCAGTGTTACCTTACCCCACACTCTATCCCTGGGCCTGTTTTTCTGACTTTAGAACTCTTCTACATAAACACGAGCATTTCTGCTACGCAGGTATGATTTTTGTCACAGAGTAGCTGTGCTTGTGGAATGACTAATAGTCAAATAAGTTGTATATAGATTTATATGATTAGTTCTTTTACATATTTGGAGTTTGTTTTTATTGATATTACTGATGACTTTTTCATCTTCTATAAACAGATAGCAAGGAAACGGCACAAAGTTATTGGCACCTTTAGAAGTTCTCCTGGCCATACACGACCCCCAGCTTCTCTTAAGCATATTCATCTAATGCCCCTTTCTCAGATTAAGAAGGTGCTGGATATAAGAGAGACAGAAGGTATGCTTATTATACAAATAATTGGCTAAGTAAAACTAGTTCATATTCATTGATGATTTAATTCATTCCCTTATGGTTGGTTTTTAAACAGATAAATTACCTCGAAGTATAGTTTAGTTAGTCTGGAAAAATACTATAATTGTGCGTGTGCCTCTGTCCTATCTTCATACCTAGAAACGGCCTTGAGATTTTGATTGTTTTCAAATGAAAATGCTATCTCAACCTGTAGGGTGATCTTATCTTTTAAGGATCAAAATCTTTTAGTTATACATTAAAATAGTGCCCTAGTCTTATTGCCACATCAAAACTTTTTATTTCCTTAGAATCCAAAAGAAATCACTAATTTATTATGTATATTTTACATCATAGTACCTTTCCTGTTACCAATGGCTATGTTTTTGGGGGCCATCTTTAAGATAATGATTTGAAATATGCATTTGTGAAATAAATATACCCAAAGTAACTGGTAGACTTGACATAAGGTCACATGTATTTAGTCAGCTTTCTATTACTGTTACAAAATACCTGAGATAATCAATCTATACCGAGGAAAGTTTTATTTTGGTCTGTGGTTTTGGAGGTTTCTCTCCATGGTCTATTGTTCCTACTGGCTTTGAGCTGTGAGGCAGTACATCATGGTGGAGAGCATGTGGTAGATTAGACTGTTCATCTTATGGCTAGGATGTCATAGAAAGGAAGACCAGGGTTCCACAGTCTCCTTTAAGAACATGCCTGCATTGATGTTAAACCTCTGTAACTTAGTGGGGTGTGGCGGGGCATAACTGAAATCCCAGCACTCAGGAGGTTGAAGCAGGAGGATCACTGATGGAGGTCAGGATTTTAGCTACAAAAATGAGTTCAAAGCTAGCTAGAGTTCAAAGCAAGACCTTGCTCAAAAAAAAAAAAAAAAAAACCCAAAGAAAGAAAATCTCCCTAAGCCCACCTCTTACAGTTTCCACCACCTCTGTGTCAAGCTGGAGGCCTTGCTGTATACCAAGGAAAGCTTGTTCTCTTAACTTTGGTAGTATTTGAGAACATTCTCTGAGGGCCTGAAATTCCCACCTACATACATGAAACAGTGGTATCTGCTTAATTGGCATCTAATGGTGTGCAATTATGGCCATATGTTGGATTCTAGACGTATGTATATTTTGTAATGTAAGCTCTTTTCATTACTGGTTCCTTTAATGATAGAAGGTATGAGAGTTCATGAGAAATGATTCTTAAAGAAAATGTGAACAGCAACTTACATTGCTATTTTTACTTGATTGTCATCAAAATATGGGATACTATTTAAATAACCTCCATTTTGGGAGATTTTAGTTATGAAGGAGTTTGTTGTTTTAGCATTTTAGACATAAAACATAACAGTTTTAGTGTTTGGGCATTTTGTTGTGATGTACATAAGGTGTTATTTATTATAATGATATTTTAACTAGAAATTTAAATTCTAGAATTTAAGAAATAATACCTGATTTTCTTAAACTTCATAGAAAATGTTAAATGGCACAGAAAATACTGTGTATTTAATATTATAAAGTTGTTGTTTTCCTATATGTTATATTATTGTTATTGTAATTCCTTTCAGTGCTTCAGCTTACTATGATGATATTCTTCCTTGAGTTGAAAAAGGAGGAGACAGATATGGTAGAGAAGAGAAAATTTCATGGGAATTTTGGTGTTCTGAGGAAACTAAACTTAGAAATCTCTAAGGAGTATTGGAGATAAATACTTACTGCTTATGGTTTTAACCCTAGATTGCCATAATGCTTTTGCCTTGCTTGTGAGGCCACCAACAGAGCAGGCAAATGTGCTGCTCAGTTTCCAGATGACATCAGATGAACTTCCAAAAGACAGCTGGCTAAAGATGCTGTGCCGACATGTGGCCAACACCATTTGTAAAGCTGATGCTGTAAGTTCTTAAATCTGTGCTATAATGAAAATTTAAATTCCATGGCAGGGCATTTAGACCTATACATTTCTATGGCTTGTTAATTATGAATGTAGGAGAATTTTTGTTTGGTGTATATGCAGAAAAATCAGTTGTGTGTGTATGCACTAGTTTAAATTATTTGGGAAGATATTTTTAAAAGTTTAGGTACATGAAACATTGAGTTCTTGCTTACCGATAAGCCCTCTTAGCCTTCTAGCTCCTATGGTTCTGATTTGGTGTAGTTTGTGACTTGTAAGTCTCTGTCATTTTATGGAAGAATTTAACCCATTTACATTTAAGGTAATTATGGAAAAGTAAGGTTTATTTACTACAGCCATTTTTATCACTTGTTTTCTAATTTTATAATCTTTTTTTCCACACCCTTATGGTCTTTTGTGGTTGATTTACTGTAGTAGTGTGCTTATTATTTTGAGTTTGTAGATCACAAGTTTTTCCTTGTGATTACTATGAAACTTAATAAAAACATATTTTGATTATAATTAGCTGTTTTGAAAGATAGAAATTTGACATGATCATAATGATAAGAAGCAAACAAAAGAGAATACATCGTACTAATAAAAATCCCCCTTGGACTCCATTCCTTTCTACAGTTTGAATTTTTGATGTCTCATTTATATCTTTCTATATTATCTATCACTTAACATATAAATTTAAGTTATTGCTATCTTTGTTATATACTTTAGTCTTCATACTAAAGATGGTTTACATATCATGTTTACAGTATTTATTAGAGCATTGTGAATTTGTCTGAATTTGTGTTCTTACCAATGAATTTTCTGCCTCGGTTAGTAAAATTGATAACTAAGCTGTGCTGCACCTGAGTCACAGAGCCACAAGAATGCACACAGTTCTTGGAGTGTCCACAGGACAAAGTCTAGATGTTTTGTCTATGACCATTGGCCTGGGAATAGCTGTGCAGCCTGAAGTTTCAGGATTGGTGGTAGAAGCAGTCCCTTGGCTGCCATACAGGACACTAAGCTGGATCATATCTGAGTCTCAGCCAGAGACCTGTGCAGTTTGGGTAAGCATGCCCTATGTCTACTGCAAGACTGGCACTGATGCAGGCCAAAACTTGAGTGTCCCCCAGACACAGAAATCTCTACCTGATGTTTTGGCAGGTCTGGAGACTCTATCTGATCTCTGACCTGGGTATGGGGCGTTTGGTTTTTGCCTGGTTTTGGGACTTACTGCAATGGACCCTACACTGAGCTCCAAAACAAAGTCCTGTGCTGGCTTTTGTCACTTACTTTCTAGCAGGTGGAGTCTTACTGCTCTTGCTCCCTGCCCTGCTGACCAAGATTGGGGTATGCATCACTGAGGCAGTCTTTTTGCCTCTGGGTCAACACAGTTTCAGTGGCTCAGTCCATGTTTATAGGTTTTTGCCCAAACCATGTTATACTCATATTATGAGCCTGATCATGATTTAATTTAATTTATTTATTTATTTTTGGTACTGGGAATTGAACTCAGGACCTTGCACTTGCCAGGCAGGTGCTTATGCCACAGAGCTATATCCCTGGCTGATCATGGGTTTTAAATTGAAGCCTGGACTTAATTTCTTCTTCCTTGCCCAAGCTTGAGGCATCCCATGTTGCCTGATGATGGGGAAGGGGTGAGTCCTCTCTTTCCTTCCTGCTTTCTTTAATGCATCTTTTTCTTACACTAAAAGCAAGCAGTGTGGTCTCATAACTAGCTTCCTTGTGTAAGTAGTTTGGTGCATGAATAGCACTTCAAGCTGGTATGTCTGTGGGGAGACTACTGCTACTGAATCCGCTTAGCCACCATCTTGCTTTGTTCCTCTCATATGATTTTTTTTTTTTTTTTTTTAATTCCGGTACTGGGGATCGAACTCACAACCTTGTGCTTGCCAAGCAGGCACTGTGCTGCTGAGCTAAATCCCCAGCCCCTCTCTTATGTGATCTTTGTAGGTATTCTTAGGACTTTAATGCTTATTACAGTTTGAGTATACCTTATTTAAAATACTTTGGACTGAAAGTATTTCAGATTTTCAAGTATTTACATAGACTTTGCTGGTTGAAAATTTTTAATCTGAAAATTTAAAAGTTTTGAATATTACATTGTTTTTTATGGAACATTTTAGATTTTTGGATTAGGGATATCAACCCTGTAATAAAATGATAGTCTTTTTAAAAAATTTTACTGAAAGTAATGGAAGTGTCATAGCATGTTGCTTTTCTTATTGAGACAACTTGCCACACTGTCTCTCATACCAACTTTTAAAAATCATATGTATAATTTTTTTTCAAACGTATACTTATAACATGCAGATTAAAGTGAAGATGAGAAGATCATACTTAAATGACTTGCCAGAAATCTGTTAGCCTATAGTAGATCTTGGATGAAATCTAGGTCCCCTAAAAGATAATTTGATTTCTTTCTTTGTATACATGGGATAGACATGTGATGGAGAAATATATGGAGCCCTCAGTCTCTGCATGAGTTAGGTAGATTGAATGGAATGCACTGATAGACCACTCTTTTCAGTACAATAGTACCACAACTGAGATTAGTCTTAGCCATTCCTGTGGGAATGAAACATTTTGTCATACTTAAATCTGACCTTGAGAGATAAAGATAATATGGTTTATAAAGTACATAATCCTTAATCGAAGCTCCCCTACCTAGTATTTGAGCAATAAACAGAACTTTTTTTTTTAATTTCTAAGGGCCAGGAATTTGTTATATAGAGGATTATTTGTTCTACAAAATAGCTCATCCAGAGAAATATGATGTTATTGCATATAACAGAAATCTGGCAAGACAAATGATGAAGACAGCTTTTGTTATTAAAGCTTGCAAAAATGCTTATTGTAAGGAAGTTTATTTGACAGTTGTAGATATCTATGTATAAAATGGACTTCCTTGCAATATAATGATTACTTATTATATAAATTATTTCTGCATTACCAGAGTGTAAGATTAAGTGGGTTGTGCAGTCCTTTCCAGATTTATAACTCCAATACTGTACTGAAGAATAGTTAGTCGGAAAATTTCCTTAACATGTACTCTATTGAATTATTAGCCACAAAATGGCTTATAATTTGAGAACTGAAATAGAAGGAACAAATGCAAAACTTTCATATAAAGTATAATTATCCACAAGATGGCAGCAAACATTTAACTATGTTCTGATTTATACTCTTAGGCCACAAAATTATTGCAGTCTGTTGAAATTTTGGTCTTAGGATTATGTTTGTAAATTCAGACATTCAGTGACTTCAGTTTACCCCATTCCTACATTTATAATTTTATACGTAGTAAATTTTTAAGAAGTCCTGACTCAGTGTCTTATTTGAGAACATTTTGCCATGTTGAAGAGAAAGTTTTTCTAAAATATATGTATGAAAAACATATGTATAAAAGATAAAATATCTGATTCTTTGAATCAGTTTTTGTCTTCCTATTATGTATTTCTTGGTGCCCTAAATAATTAGAGCTTGCTTAACTAAAGTTGAGTAGAACTATCTTATTCTATACTACTTCATCATGCCCATATCTAAATGGCTAAAAAATAGAATTTTCAGGCTGAAAGAAAATTTGATCTTGTTATTATTATTTTTTAACATGTGAAACTAAAGGCAAGAGCAATGGCTAACTAGTATAAAGCTAACTAGAATCTGGACGTTTTTATTGGTAAAACCCTCTTGATAGGGTTTTCCTCATAAATAGGATACCCCATATCATCTTTTATTTATTTATTTATTTTTGGTCTTTTTGAGACAGGGTCTTGCTATACAGTTCAGGCTGACCTTGACCTCACTTTATAACCCAGGCTGGCCTCGAATTCACAATGATCCTTCTGCCTCAGCCTCCTGAGTGCTGGGATTACAGGCGCGCACCACACGCCCAGCTTCCATATCCTTCTATTTCACAGTGTAAAGATTAAAGTTTAATTTGTTGAAAATCATATCTCAGACTATTTCAGTCTCTTTTCTTTCTTTTTTTTTTTTTTCAGTCTCTTTTCAACATGTAAATTTTAATTATACAGTCCATATTCTGAGATCTATATATTGCCTGAAGTCAGGTGGTGCTTTGTTGAGGTCATTACAGATTTCTGACCTCTAATGTTAGAAGTATAATTTTATTAATGAATGAATTTAAGAAATGTTACTCCTTAATTTGGTTAGTTTAAAAGTGGTTTCATAATGCTTGGGTTTGTTAGATCACAAATGTTTTGGATTTCAGATTTTTTCAAATCTGGAATATTTCCATATACATAATGAGATAAATTGCAGATGGGACCCAGTTTAAACACAAAATTCATATACATGTTATATACACAGCCTGAAAGTAATTTTGTACAGTATTTTTTAAGCGTTCCTATCTTTTGACTGTGACTTGTTACGTAAAGTCAGATGTGACCATTTCTAAGTATGGTGTCATGAGTATTGAGAAAGTTAGATATTGTTTTAGAGATGCTCAGTCTGTAGCAAATTGTTAATAGATATGACTATTATTAATACTGCTGCTTAATTTGGATAAATCAGAAGCTGTAAGTTATAAACATGATTACACAGTTTGGAGAAGTCACTGAGACACAGATGAAGTTAATGAGGGGCAGGACACATAATAGATATTTTTCTTTAGCATTGAGTTTAGGGAAGGAAGGGAAAGAAAAGATTTTGATGATTCACATATATGGATGGGTTCATTGGCTTACCATGTTAGCAATACTAGATAATTTTCTGTGAATTAAACCCATGAATAGAGTTATAAAATCTAGCAGGGCGTGGTGGCGCATGCCTGTAATCCCAGCACTTGGGAGGCTGAAGCAGGAGGATCATTGCGAGTTTGAGACCAACCTGGGCTACAAAGTGAGTTCAAGGCCAGCCTGAACTCCGTAGGGAGATCCTGTTTCAAAAGGACCAAAACAAAACAAAAAATTATAAAATCTGTAACTGAGACTCAGAAAGTAGAAATTAATCTGCCCCATTGAG